AAAGAAAGAAAGAAAGAAAGAAAGAAAGAAAGAAAGAAAGAAAGAAAGAAAGAAAGAAAGAAAGAAAAGAAGGAAGGAAGGAAGGAAGGAAGGAAGGAAGGAAAGAAGGAAGAAAGAAAGAAAAGGAAAGAAAGGTTGAAGTCCTGACTTCCAGCACTCAGAATGTGACCTTATTTGGAAATGAGGTTGTTGCCAATGTAATTAGTTAAGATGAGCTCATAGTGGGGTAAAGTGGGCCCTCATTCAGTAAGGCTGGTTTTTTTCTAAGAATACCGATGTGAAGATAGAGGAACGGGGAGAAGGCCAGGTGGTGATGAAAGCACAGACTGGAGTTATGCAGCTACAAGCCAAGGAATGCCAAAGATCGCCAGCAAACCACTAGAAGCTGGCAAGAGTCAAGGAAGGATTCCCTCGCATGGTTTCAGAGAGCACAGTCCTGCAGCGACCTTGATTTTGTACTTCCAGCCTCCAGATTGTGAGGCTGTTGTTTTAAGCCACCTGGCTTGTGAAACTTTGTTGTTGTGGCAGCCCCAGGAAACTCATACAGCTGCTATGAATCAATAGTAAAATTAGCAAAAGACAGAAGAGGAAGCACACATGACACTTATAAAAATGGCACAAAAATACCATGTGCATCCGTTAGCTTTTGCTGTGTTGCCCCGCCCCAACATTTAGTGGCTAAAAAACGACAAACACTATGCTTCAAGATCCTGTGGCTTGGCGGGGCCCCGCTGGTCTAGGCTGGCTGGGCTGGGCCTGGTTGGTCTTGGGTGGCCTCACTCAAAGGTCCTCTGCTGGACTGGCTGGGATGCCCAGAGCCTCTCTCCGGATGCTTTCCCATCCTATAGGAGGCAAACTCACTCACACTGAGGCAGAAGCATTCCCAGCAGCAAGAAATTTAGAACAGGAGCTGCAGGTTTCCCTGAATTCGAGGCTCAGGACACACACAACCTCACTTCTGCAGAATTCTATTGGTCAAAGCAAATTCCGAGACCGGCTCAGAGTTGAGGAGAGGGAACTGGACCCCATCTCTTGATGGAAGGAGCTGCACAGAATTCGTGGCCATTTGCATCCTCCCACACCCCTTTCATCTATGGATTAGCAAAAATAGAACAGTTTGATGAGGCACAGCGTTGGCTGGCGAGTCTGTTGCAAAACAGACACTCCCCTACACCACCGCTGGAGTGAGTGTCAATTGGTGCAACCCCATGGAGGAATCATTTTGCAATTGATCTCAAAATCACGAATGCAGAAAAAACTTTTGACATAGCAAAACCACTTACCACTTAGGGGAACTTGGCCCGGCCCGTGTATGAAATGGATAGGGGCCCAAAGTCCTTCATTGCAACATAGTTTGTAATACCTAGTAGTGGGAAAATACCTACCTGTACAAAGAGACACATTTGTCCAACACAGGAAAAAAAAGGGGGAAACTATGTAATTCAGGTTACCTTATTGTCAAGTGGAAAAATCTAGTGGCACAACAGTGTGGAGGTACACTGTGGTTTGTGCATAAAAGCGGGGTGTGGATGCCCATATTTGCTTGTACATGCAATAAATAACGCTGTTGATGTCCCCTTACCTCCAGGTTTCAAAGTAAGGGCAGGACAACGTCCCTTACCTGCCTCCCTGCCCTTTACACTCTTTACCCCGCAAGCCTCGTGTTTGTGCAGCTCGTGGCCTGTTTACCCAGCCCGAGTTATCAGCTAACCTTTCAGGAGACTGGATTCTTCTGGCTACGAAGCACTAGGAGCCGCTCCCGTCTCCCTGACTCCAGACTCCAGACTCGGGGCAGTGGGTGGGTGGGGGGGGGCACTGCTTTCCTTTCATCCCACCCCTTCTGGACCAAGGGGCTCTGAGTCCACGCTGTAGGACGTGGGCCTCCTCCCTAAGCTTCTCCCTGCTGCAGCATGCCACCAGGAAAAGCTGCCCCCAGGATCCTATCTTTCTCCCTTATACAATAGGTGGCACCTCCCAAAGCAAGCTCCTTGATTGTACACACTGATTGGGGGACCCGCCCTGGAATCTGGGAAGCCAGACAGGCCTGTCTAGTGACCTTGGACTGCTCCTTTCTCTTGCTTCGGATCTCTCCTCTGAGATAAGGGGAGAGGCCCACCCAGCCTTGCTGGGCCCCATGCTAGATAATGAGACGATACAGAGTACCTACTGTTCTCAGCGATCTACATACGTCAACTCATTTCATCCTCACAGCAGCCCTTAGATGTAGGGTCTCCTAATTGCCCTGTTTGACAACTGAGGAAACGGAGGCTCAGGTTGGTGAAATGTCTTGCCCCACGCCACCCAGCTTGACACGGCAGAGCTAGAATTTGAAGCCAGGCCACCTGGCTCTGAAGTGCTCAGCCAGATGGGTGTGTGGTTTCCTTGAAGCCTGAGTATCATTAGTACGAATCCCTCCAACACCAATGTAGACGCCATTTGTTGCACACTAACTGTTGGCCCTGGGTTATGCCAATTTAGTGGATAAACACACTGAGGCCCCAAACAGGGGAAGGGACAGCCTCAGAGTTATATCTCAGAAGAGAGGTGGGTAGGGACTCAAAGCCCATGAAGAGGTGACTCGGACAGAGATGGTACATTCAGGCTGGAAAGCCCCTTGTGGGGAGGTGGAGGTCAACCCCTTACTCCCACTGAGCAAGGCTGCCCAGTCAGACGCGGAAGCAGAGCAGTGCAGGCTTCATGGGGGAGGAGGGCGGGGGGGACTGTCTTCCCTCTTTCCTTTTGGTGGTGCCCAGTGGTCAAGTCAGAGAGGTCTGGGTTCAAATCCCGACTATGCCCACATTCCCACTTTGTGGCTTTGGACAAGAGCTTTGAGGGCTCTGAGCCTTGGTTTCTTTCTCTATAAAACGAGGAATCTCAGGGCTGATTTCAACTGTACCAGTTGTTAAAATATTGAGCTACTTCCAGATTTGGTTGGTAAAAATCCCAAGACCCTGTGTGTCCCTATGGCATGTCTGGGTCCTCCCAGACACCCCATGTTCCAGCAACTGAAAGGGAAACTCCAGGTGAGTGGAGACCGCCCGGACGGGCAGAGTTGTTACTGCCGCATGGCCTGACGCATACTGACTGATAGGCAAATATTTTGACTATTCCTCCTAGGATTAATGCTAATGGCTTATAAGACTGTTGTAAGAATTCAGTGAGTTAACATCTCTATGGAATGAGCAGGCAACCTATTAATAATAGTAATAATAACAATAATAACAACATGCCCATTGCCCTTCTTTGGCTGAGTAGCCTCGGGCTTGTCCCACGTGCCTCTCCGGACTCAGTCTCCCCATCTCCATGCTCCCTGAGCCCCCTCCACCTCTGGGTGTTCCAGTGGGCCAGGAGGGTGGGTGAGGCTGCTATCTCCCCAACCTGTTTGCTTTCCCTCTTCCGGGCTGCCTCCCTAGCCAAGGACCTTGAATAAAAGGCCAGGGCTCCCATGTTCTGCTTCCGCCTCTCCAGCTTGGATCATGCTTGGGCTATTCCCTGCTCTGGCGCTCCTGGGAGCACTGGCCACCCCAGCAGGTAGGTGTACTGCGTGTGGTCCCTGGGAGAGAGCAAGAGAGACAGCCCTCCATCCCATGGGTTGTGGGAATCGGGCTTCAGATTCTAAGCCCCAGATCCTTCCACCTCTACATTTTGTCTCACACAGGCAGCTGAAGGGAATGTTTGAGAACATGGTTCTGGAGCCAGGCTCAAATCCTGGCTCGGCCGCTTCTTAGCTATGTGACCTTGGGCAAGCTACTTAGCCTGTCTGTGCCTCAGTTTCCCCATCTATGAAATGAAGGTGATGATAACCCTGCCTCAGAGAGCAGTTGGGAGCATTCATTGAATTATTTATGTTCGAGGAGCTTTTTTTTTTTTTTTAAAGATTTTTATTGGGGGAATTGGGGGGATGGGAACAGTGCTGGGGAATTGGGGGAAGGGGAACAGACAAGTTGCTGTCCTTTTGTTCTTCAGTCTAGTTGTGGAGNATCTTAGCTGTGGAGGGCAGTGTCACTGGCCCTCATATGTGGGATCCGAACCAGGGCCCTCTGGCGTCCCAAGCCAGTTCTTAACCATTGCACCACTCGGCTGGCCCAAGGCTCTCCCCCTCTTAATTTTGTTGAGTGCTCGAGCTAGGCTGGGCCCTGTTCTGCATGCTTTATCTATTATATAACTTGGTGAATCCTCACAGTATCCTATTTTACAGTTGAGAAAACTGAGGTTTAGAGAGGTGGGTCAGCTGAATGATGTCCCCCAAAGACATCCAGGTCCTCAGCCCTGGGACCTGTGAATGTCACTTTATGTGAAAGAAGGGTCTTTTGCAGATGTAATTAAGTTAAGGCTGTTAAAATGGGGATATTATCCTGATGATCCGGTTGGGCCCTACTTATAATCGCAAGTGTCCTTATAGAGGGAGGCAGGTGGGCATTTGACTACAGACGGAAGTGGAGGAAAACAGGGTCGGAGAGAGAAGGTGCTTTGCTGCTGGCTTTGAAGATGGATAAAGGGATCAAGAATAAAGAAATACAAGGGGTGCAGCTCTGGCGGCTAAAAAAGACCTAGCGCCTCCCGAGGGAGCGCTACCCTGCCAACACCTTGATTTTGGCCCCTTAAGGCTCATTTCAGGTTTCTGAACTCCAGTGCCTTTATAAGAGAATAAATTTCTTGTTGCTTAAAGCCACAAAGTTTGTGGTCCTTTGTTACAGCAGCCATAGGAAACTAATACAAGCGGTTAAGTCACTTGCCTAGGATGACTTTAAGTATAGAGCCAGGGTTTGGACCCAAGCAGTTGGGCGCTGTCGCTCAGGCTCATAGCTGCCAGGCTGAGGGTTGCTGTTCCTTGGGGGCTGGGCTGGGGGGAGAGGGGTGGTGCAGGCCCCAGGAGCTAGAAGCCCCCAGCTCGCAGCTCTCAGCCTCTTTCCATGCCCGTCCTCTACCACTCCTCTTTGCCACACTTCTCTCTGGCTTCATGGGATTAGGGGTGACCTGGGGAGAGGGGACCCAGAGGAAAAAAAATCACAGAGTTTGTAAAAAGAGAGAAAAAGGTTCCTTGCTTTTAGCAATTTGCAGCTCAAGTTTCACCATTTCCTTGCCAGAGCAGAAATAATCATTGCCATTCAAGGGCTAATGTTGCTAAGATAGAAATCTCCTGTTAGGGGTTGAATTGCGCCTTTCGCTACCACCAAAAAAAAAAAAAAGAAGAAGAAGAAGAAGAAGAAAAGAAAGAGAGAGAGAGAGAGAGAGAGAGAGAGAGAGAG